CTTTTGTGCATGTTGGCCCTTACTGTACAGCATTTAAGAATAATTTCTGAGCACAGATCGTACAAATTAATGAGCAAATTTTAAAAGCGTATGTTAGAGAGCTGGTCTATGATAACAGCAGAAAGATCTTGGTCATAACAGATGAGGACATTTTAAACTCAATCAATCAATCTATCTATCTATCCATCATCTATTTATTTATTTATATATGAGCGATAAACTACTGCATCCATTTTACAGACCTCACTGCACATTAATTACAGCCGTTACAGCTGCACTTCTGCTGACTCCAAGAGCTCTAACCCGCAGAACAGGATAAGATCTTGATGTGGATGTGTGCTGGGCAGAGACTGAAGTTGTGAAACTCGATTTTCATTTCAATGACTCAACTACTGTCTAGTGAAGGTGTCACTTGCTTTGGCTCTCATATGTACTGTTAGTGCTAACATACTGTCTCCACCTCAAGGAAGTCCTAAGGAGACAAATAACCATGAAGCCATTCCAGAATCTGCCTTGAGAAATGTTTTGGTTCAAACTAGAACTACTCAGATAATGTCAGTAATACAAACGTGGTTGATTTAGTGAAGCAGTAATGTGGTAAAGCCAAGAAAGTGGGGCTTTGAACCTGTTTAGTCACAGTGGAAATCAACAAAGCTATATAGCTTCTTTGTGCTGAAGGCAAAAAGCATAAGTTCCCAACAACTATTCTCAGGAAGCATGTAAAAGAGTCACAGAAAAGACAGAAGAGAAGTATTCTGTAAAGAAATCCACAGTGATCTTGGGTGGGGTAGGAGGAGAAAGGTGCTCCTTGCATGCCTTCCTGGTTAAGTGTTGCAGTGACAGTCTTGTAACTGCCAAGAACTCCTCTGCTTAAGCAGCAGTTGCACTCAGAAATGTGAAGAAGTGATTTTGATATGAAACTTAAGAAATATTTTCTAGCTTTTTTAAAAATAAAAATTAAACACTGATTTTTATTTTAAACTAGATTCCAAATGCTGTCTGTTGAGATAACTGTTCATGTTTCTCACTTAAAATGTCAATTTGAGATCAGTTGTTCTACCTAGTATAAATTTGCTCTAAGTGCAGATGGATACATCTGATCAAATAGGAACTCTCTCTCTTTTCTGTGGAAATGCCAAGCAATATAACTGAAAAAATCTCAATACACGAGAACTTGTTTCAGGTTACTGCAACGTGTACCAAATAGGTCTGATGTGCCTTTGCAGGAGTAACATTAAAAGCACTGCTACAAGTGCAATGTGATGTGTGTGTCCTTGTGTTTCTGTTGCTACCCTATTCTCTCTAAGAAGAGAGAGTTTTTTACAAGAGGGCATTAAGGGATGGCTATGCAGCTACTCGGTGTTGATTTGGACTTTGGACTTGGGTGACCAGGAAATCAAGCACAGTCAGATTTAGGATCTTCTGGAATGAGGATCTTGGTGGCCACAACCCCTGTTGGTGTGCTAAAATAAGTGTATCCAGACTGTCAGAGACTCAGAACTGGTATGTGTTTTCAACTATTTGTAGCTTTTGGTGCTGCAGTAAGCTGTAGCAAGATTTAACTAAGTATAAATAGTCTCTCTGACAAAAATTAGTGTTTTTTGCTTGCCTTCCACATTAACCCATATTAAACTGTAAGTCAAAAGAGTCCTGTGCAGAACCTCAGTGGAATTACCAAACAGCCTTTGAATTAACTACTGTGACAGAGTCACCACTTACAACATCACTGATCGATGTGTGGGGAGAGGAGCCATACCTTTCAGGGCCAACTGGAACAACGTACTGTGCTGTTCTGAGTTCAGTCAGACCTGTTACTCCCGGATACTGAAGGACACAGACCCCTGTTTGGCTTCTTGGTGCTGACTGATTTCTGAACAATGCAGTCTCGCTAGCAGCATAGGCACCGGTCCAGAGGTCTGAGACCTGAAACTTGCCTCAGAGGCCTGCAGTTGGAAGCAATGACAGGCTTTTCCCAATTACGTGTTTACTCGGTGCTTAGGTACACTCAGACAGCTGACTGAGTAACTGGCTTAACAGGTTGGGTTGTAAAACTCACTTGGGAAAACAGCTCTACAGTGGAAGAACAGAAATTTGCAAAATTACTGCTTTCTAACTGGAGTCTGATTAATGTTTCATGATCAATTCATTCACATCACTCTTAGTAAACTCTAGGAAACATCCTCGGCTCTGCGAAAAGTGCATACTTTGCTCCTGAGTCACAATCTGGCAGTGCTAACAGTTGCGTGTGTTCTTTTAGAAGTGTACTTTTGGTTCATAGTGATTAGTTTCTGTAAAATGAGTGCCGGAGAGTACTTTGTGGGGCTACTTTAAAAGTGTGGTCATGACAGATATGGGATATCAGATTTATGGATATAGTGATGTGCACCACATTCTACAAATGACCCATTTTTCATCAACACTTACCAAGCATTTTATACATCCAGTATATAAGTTGTGACACTTCCTCAAGACTGCTAATTTCTGGCATGCTCCCTATTCTCTTGCTACATGATGGAGAGCTTTCCTGATCATTGCTAGTTACTGGGAGACACTTCTTTCTCTCAGCCCTCCTGGGTAACCAACTATCAAACTTTGTGCAACTTCATTTGAAGCATTGCCGTTTTCCTTTAGATATTGTGGAGCAAAGTATTGGGCAGATAAACTCTTAGAAAACTCTATTATATTTGTTCTTAAGAGTGTTATGGCCCATGAAGTTTCCCTAATTTATCCAGTCACCTTAACACCACCCTTGATTCAAAACCAGTAAAGGCAAAACCAGATAAAAACCATTTTGCACAGCTAAAATAATCACATACAATGACAGGAATACAAATTTTCCCATCCAGCTCAAAAAGGGTTTTCTCCCCACTTATATTATCAAATAAGCTGGTAAACATTTCACAGCTTTCCTCTCTGAGAGGTTCATGGCTCAAGGCAGCTCTTCATCTTGATACTGACAACATGGAAGAAGCCAGTATGAGAATCCCTTCTTTCATCTAATTAGTGTTAATGAAACCAATAGGGAAGAAAACTAACCCTTCCATCTAAAAAAATCCCAAGCTTCCCACTTGGAAAAGAGTAATGGTTCTGTAAGCCTGGATTGGACATCTCCTCTACCATTTAATAAGTTAAAACATGCCTTCCCACATTTTTCCGAACCCTTAACCAAGTTGACAGTCCCTTCACACTCATTTGGAAATTGTTCAAACCTCAAATGAAACTGCTTCTCACATTTCATTTTTAAAATTCCTATTAAAATGTATGTCTACTTCAACTGGAATATAAATAAAATTAATGAATTTGGATCTTGAATAAAATGGGGATGGGGATAAGCAGTTACTGAATAGCCTATAGTCATCTCTTTGAGAAGTGAATAAAAGTAAGCTTATGAGAACCAAAATGAAGGAGGTGAAGATAAGCAAAGGGCAAAAAGGCTCTGAATTTAAAACTTTGGACAAGGAAACAATTTCAGGGAAACTTCTCCCTGGAAAATTTGCATTTCTATGTTTGGACAAGTTTAGTTTTACCATCAGACTAAACAGTGAGAACTGTATAGAGTTTCTACACAAACCCGAAGGAACTATGGTTCGAACTGAAAAAGTGGTATCCTGGCATAAGGAAAGGGATAGGTGATCAAACCAGGAAAAAAGTAAACACTTAGAATCATAGAATCATAGAATGGTTTAGCTTGGAATTGGGTATTAAATATCATTGCTACTTCCAGCTGGAGCTGACATGATTGCAAGCAAACAGAGCTCTTCTGCAAAAAGAGGCTGAGCAACTTCAGGTGATGGAACACAGGAATGGTGTCAGCAGGCACTCACACTGCCTGTTCAGGTAAATACCAGACAGACGTGAGCCCCTGCACTCAGTTCGTTAATGGGGTGATGGATTTGTCGAGGACTGGTATTGTGTGACAATTTCCTGGAGCAGACGGAGTTAAGCAGGTCATGCCCTGGATGCACTGCGGTGCACGGGTAGATCTCTTTATCTGAAGACATGAAATGTCTCTGCTCCCACCAGGTTGCCAAAGAGGCATTAGCTCCACTCCGCGGCAAAGCCCAACGCTCAGCTGGCCACAAGGCTCTCATGCTTTCCTAGGTCAGCCCCGTCAAGGCTGCCATGAGCCCCGAGGGCAGCCTGAGGGAAAACTAGTGTCCACATTGCGCTGAAGTCAGCTTGGCTGCCCAGGGGTCACAGCCTGAAGGGGAACTCAACCCAGGCTTGAGGGCTAAAGGATGTGGGTTGATGCCAGGGAAAACGGGTTAAGCCCAAACTTCCCCGAGGTGCCTCGCAGGATGTCACACAGGAGGCCACCATGAGGACCCAGCTCGCCCTGTGCCAGATGCTTCACGTCCCCAGCATTCGATGGGGCTGCCCAGGCTCCCACCGCCACTCAGCCCGCCCTGGCTCGGGCAGCTGGCGGCGAGGGGGGCCGGGGACGGCCCCGGGGCGGGGCGAGGAGGCGGCCGCGGCTCCCCGGGCAGGCGGGGCGTGCTGCCCGCCCGCCCGATGTGTGGAGGGGTCCGGGGTTGCCGGCGGGACGCGTGGAGCAGCCGGAGGTGAGGAAGGGTGGTGGGTGTCGTGGGGGCAGCACCTCGCTCCCTCCCGAGGCTCGGCTCCGGCGTGACGGGGAGGGCAGCGAGGTGTGGGTGCAGCGGGGCCCATCGCGGGAGACCGTGGCCGGTTGCCGTCCCTTGGCAGCGTGGGGAGCGGGCGGCAGCCGGGAGGGTCCCCCCGGGACGGCGCCCCCAGGGCGGTCCGGGAGTTCGCGGGCGGCGGGGAGCGGCTCCTCGGCACGTTTAGGCTGCAGTGGGTGATGACTTCCAAAAAAACCAACCCCAGCCCCTGGGTCTGTGTTACTTATAGCCGTGTTGTGAGGCCGCGTGTGTTGCTGCGAGGTGTGTTGGCACAGTCTCCCCGCCTGTGTTTGTGGCTGCTGCAGACCCATCTTTTACGGCGCTCAATATCCTTGGAAGTAACTTTTTTATTTTGCGTTTGTGTGTGCTTTCTCATTGTGTGTCGCATTGTACAAGCCCAGGTACGAGTGCGGTGTATTAATGAAGGCTGTAGGAGTGCTAACGCCGCCACATTTTTTAAAGTACTTGTAACAGGAAGCGGGATAATGTTTGGCGTAAATCTTCTTGACCTAGTAAAACACTGCAGAAACTATTTCTGTACTTATTTATTTATTGCATAACGCTGATCAAACAAGGGCTCCTTTTTTTAACTGTTTGTATGACAAGAGCAAGGTTTTGGGTGATGCCTGTAGAAATAGCGGTATGAAACCCAGTAAGCAGCTCTGACAGTCCCAGACCTGTTCTGGCCACAACCTAGATGGCTCTTGGCAGCAGCCTGGGGAGCCACAGCTTGGTAGGAGTGAGCTATCCTTTAAAAACTACTGAGCTGAATTAATTGTTTCCAGCAGCAGCTCTTAAGTTTGGAGAGTTTCTTCAGGGACTCGGCAAGCTGCTGGATGTGTTTTGTTTTTCTTCTTGAGAAATTCAGCATTGTGCACTCGTTTGACCTGGACGATTTGTATGTGCTTGGATCCTCCAAAAACAGGCTAAAAGGTCTTGAACAGAAGTTATTTTAGAATGCAGAATCCTTAATTGAGATACTTTAATTCACATATTTTAAATTAATCATTAAATGACAAATACCTATTATTTGGTTTTGGTAAACAATTCTACTGATTTCCTCTCTCCCTCTGAGAGTAGTAAGTTGTTTTTTTAACACTTGCATCACTGTGTTTGATACATACGGTTTTATCTGCATGAGCCATTCAGATCCTTTTAAATGCTTCTTAACAGTACTTTGAAATGATAGGAGAAAATGAATCACTTACTTTGGATTTAAATAAAAAATGGGCCATGTTAAAACTCTTACTACTTTGTAATGACAGGTATCAGGAGTTGAAATGACATAGAAAAGTCTTCAAAGAACAGACTGCGAAATGAACTGCTTCCACTTGACACTGAAAGAAGGTACTGCTTTCAATTTATTTGAATGTTGCTAAGATATACTCCTTTCAAGGTGGTTTGGATACTATCATTGCCTCCAGTTTGTTGTGGAAGAAGATGGATAGGTAGGACTTCACTGTACTAGGGTCAACCAGTGGTGGCTAGTTATGTACAGCTATAGATTGTATTTTTATTTCCTTCCTCCTGTTCTCTGCTGAAATTTGGAGCAGTACCTGAATTTGAAAAAATACTCTTTCTTCAAATTCAGATTTAGAACAGTTAGTGCTTTGTCTCAAAGCTGAACTGGAATTTAGCTTGCAAAGACTTAACTGTTGCAGGCTTCTTTGTGAACATTGTTTGACTGTGTTTTGATGTAGTGTAGCTTCAACGTAATGCCCTAGATAATGGGTTTTCCTTAAAGGTACAACTTTTCTGTAGTTCTGCAACTTTCAGGATTGTCTGGAAAGTAAAGGCATTTGAAGTCTGAAGTTTGTGGTCATCGTGTCAGTGTCAGAGTACCCCAGTGGATAACCATCTTGACTGGTCTGATGGTGGTGATATTTAGAACTGATCACAGTCAGATGATCATAGATTTTGTGAGCTTCTTGAGGGTGCTTGTGCATCATGTTGTGTGACACGGTGTTTGTGCATGCCCCTGTAAAATGATCAACTGCATTCTGTTTATATATTGAGTATGTTAGACAGGAAAGTTGTGACCTCAGGAAAGTGGTAGACTTGAAACAAGTCTCTCAGAAATTTTATCATGCTTTGCTGTTGTGCTTTAACCATTTTTAGTAACTTCAGCCATGAGTATGATAAGGTGGTGTGAGATTTTGTTTGTTGTTGGCTTTTCCCCCTTTATTTCTTAAAAGATTTCATGTGCCTTTTTCCTTCAAGGCCAGCAAGCTTTAAGCTGAAAACAGTTTTCCAGACTATGTAGACAGTGTCATCAATGAGACTGGAATTCTCTATACATGGAATTTTTGCGCTTCTGTCACTGTATCCTGGGGGCATTTCATATTGCTGGCACTGGGATAGAAGGCACTACCAGTCTAAAGTTGTTGGGTATGTGATCAAACATCTGCTTTCTAAGCAGAGTTTGTTGTTTCACATTTGTGGATTTTGGATAGTGTTCCTCTTTATATTCTGCTTAAGAAAAAAGGTAGAAACCTTGTGTGGTCACTTGAAACCTTTTTGACCAGGATAGATATGCTCTGCATACTGTGAGGCATTGCAACTACAAAATCAGAGGCTTCTTCCTGTCTTTATAGAAGTTTTAAGCTTTACTGCTGCAATAAAAGTTCCACTTTAGCATACAATATTGGAAAGTCATCTACTCTTGGTACTGGAGGCAAATGAGTGCAAAATATAAAGCATAACTTGTTGGATCGCTTAGGTATTATTATCTTGTCCAATATTTAAGTATTCTTTGTTTCCTTTTAGTGGTTAAATCCGTCTTATGAAGTTGCTTGCCCTCTGTGTAATATGTTGTTTTTGACAGAAACTTCACTGTCCAAAGGTCTTTGCTAGAATTCTTGGTCAATCTCTACTGCAAGTTTTGTTGTTGCTCTATTAAGTCATCTCTACTGTAGGGAGAGGGATGCTCTTGCTTTTACATTTGGGATGTCTGTAGAAAATTTGTTTTATAAGTGTATGCTGCTGTCCAAATGATGGGTTTTGTAAAATCCTTTTTTCCCCTTCTCTGCTTTTTACAGATAAACTGAAACTCCAGGAATGTGATGATCTGCTCATTGGCCAGTTAAGCACATACAAGGCAACTAAATAAAGACTGTGGTGTGAGGGTTTTGTCAGATAAACTGTCCAAAAGAAGTACATACTCAGAGGCTGTTATGTTCGAGTGTTGAACTCTGCTTTGTGTGTCCCTCCCTACTACCCCAACACTTCTACATGTGAAATGTTTCAGAAGAAGGAGCTGGTGTGGCTTATTTGTCACTAAACTACATTGGATATAAAAGTAAGTCAAGGCTTACTTTGTCAGGAAGTATCTTCTTTTCTTCCTGCCGTTTCTAGCTGAGTAGAAAGCAGATATTAACTAGGACCTTTGCAATGAATGTTTTGCAATGTGAAACCAGTTTGCTTTAGAGTGAGAGGCAGCAGCACACAGAATAATAAGAAGCTGAGGAAAGGCACGACAGCTAAATGCAGACTTTAACTTACAAGGAGCAGTCAGAAGAGAAAGGATTTAAGTGTTTACCAGCTGGCTGACAGTAGAAGGCTTGGGGAGATCCCTGATGACACCTTGCCAAAAAAATGCAGGTGAATCTGAGAGGGGAGTAGGACTTAGTTAAGATTTAGAGGTTTCATGGAAGCCACTTGCAGGCCAAGAGGGCAGTGCATGTCTGTTCAGTCATGTCTTGGAGAAAACTGTAAACAAGACCTGAGGTGTGAAGTGAAACTACAGTTACTGGACACTTTTCTTTTGTGTCTGACCACAGCAATTCATATTAGCTGCGGTTTCTACACGTTTGAGTTTAGATACCAGTTTAAGTGCCAGGTCACACTAAAGTTAGTGTGCTTGTGAAGAATTGCAGGTTATCTGCTCTTAGAAGCAGTGATGCCTCAGCCATACAAAAACAGTTCAAAGAATGAAACCTCATACATCTCTCTGATTGTGTCACTTGTAAGCATGTGGAAAGACAATCAAGGTTGATTTTTAAATTATGTGGTGTAGCTTAAATCTCTATGCCTGCATAATTCATCTGTGTTTGAGGGTTGTGTGGGTTTTTTTTGGTTAACTATGCTGACAAAAAATAATTATACTTTATGCCAGAATTATTCCAGTAGAATAGTTCTAGTTCAGGAAAAGTTCTAGTAGAAAGCTGAAGACTGAGCAACTGTGTGTGGAGGCCAAAAGTTGTAGTTGAAATCTTCAAAGACTGGGCCTAAATTACCAAAGCCATTTTCCCCCCTCTGCAAGATGACTAATGCTTCTTCTGATATTTTTTTTTTAGATGTAATGCAGGGTGCAGAGGACAGTTCAGCTTGAACAGTCTTACTGCAGCTATGGGAAAAGCTTCTGTTTTGCAGCAAAATATGACACCTGTAGTTTTGCTCATTGGTCATCTCATTCTACTGATGCCTCTGCTCCGTGCTGGTAGGTTACATACTTCGTTGAAATTACCATTTAAAAAAAGAAAATCTGAAAGAGATGAGTTGTGTATATTTAGTAGGAAAGAGATACCAAGAGCAAGTAGTGGATCTGTGGTTTGTTTTTGCTTCAGCATATTAAAAACAGCTGAATGCCTCTTCTGGAATTGAAATTTCACGAGGGATGACATGGACAAATGGACATAAAAGTTTTTAAATCTAGCCACATAAACTTAAGGTACTGAGGCTTTGATTAGCCTCTCCCTGTTTCTTATGAAAAAAGTTCAAAATCATTGGCTTCCTTGACTTTTAAGTTAGCTGCTGAATGCCTTAAGAAACATGCTGTAGCTCTAGTCCTGCAAGCAGTAGGGCTGAGTTTCCTTTATAATTAATTATTAATATTTTTAAGATAGGCCTAATTTTTCAGTAAAGTTCAGAACTACATAAATTAATGATGCTTGTCTTGCTACTCTTGGCATAAGCAGTCTAATATTAATGTCTCTGAATTAGTTTAAGCTACATAGAGACTTTCTTGGAAATGTTTAAGTTAGGTGATAGTAAGATAATGATACTGAAAGGATAACTGAAGACTTTTTTTATTTTGAAATGGAATCTCTTGACTTTGTACTTATACAGTTATTCAGCAAGATTTTAAAAATCAGTTCAGTGAGATGTTTTGCAGTTTCATAGGAATTTAGTGTTGTACACAGAATCACAGAATGGTTTGGGTTGGAAGGGTCATTAAAGGTCATCCAGTTCAACCCCCTGCCATGGGTAGGGACACCTTTTACTAGACCAGGTTGCTCAAAGCACCATCCATCCTGGCCTTGAATACTTCCAGGGATGGGGCATCTGCTTCTCTGGGCAAACGTATGCAGAAGTTTGAAAGTTTTATGATCTACTTGATAGCCCAAAGGCTAGCTTTGTGTTAAAATTATATTCTCCAGTAAGTTTTTGCTTGCAGATCTGGGTTCTTGGTAACTTTTTGCAGTATCTTTCCTACTTTCTCTGGTATTTTTTGGCTAATGTTTAAAGAAATGCTTGCTAGGCTGCGTGATTGTGTCATGTCACTTTGTTACACAGACACCACTATAAAAATTCTGTTTATGCTGACCTTTTACATGCTGTTCAGAATAATGGACCTTCTGGATAAAGGTGCAAATATAGTAAGGAAACAATATATTATAGTCAAGACTTCTTAATCCAAATACTGTGCTTTTCCAAATTTTTTCTGTGTTGTAACATGTTGGTTTACAGACTTCTTTGTTGGATTGAGGTCTTGATACCATTCTATACTGTCTTTGACTTCAGGTTAAGAAACACCTGTTTTTTTCCCCCCTGATTTTTTTTTTGGCCCCATAGTCATAATGGCCAGAGTAGTGTCAGGAGCTCTGCACTGCTGCTGTTTGCACTTGCTTTACATAGATAGTTTTCACATTAAGAATCTGGAAATTCTGCAAAAGCACTAACATGCTCAAATAACAAGGACACAACAGGTGAGTTGGGAAGCTTGGAGTTGCCTGGTGAATCCCATGGATCTTCTAATACTCTGGTTTGCGCTGAGGCTATTGGACTTGCGTGTGCTTGTTGTCGACTACCTTAATAGAGGGAAGTTGTAGCATAAGCTTGTAAAATGTGTGTTTACGTCTTCAACCAGAGGGTGCTAAACAAACAAAAAATAGTAGCCTTGTGATGTTTTAATGGTAAATGTTACGGAAAGTTTATTTTCTAGTTCTGTGTCGCTTGGAATGGATATTGATACTTCTAAAACATCTAAGAATATAGATCGAAAGCATTGATAATTTTTTCTTATTTTTTTTAATAGAGAAATGTGTTCTTTGTGATTACTTTGTGCTTGTTGGAGAGCCTACAGCTATTCCTTGCCCCATTATTACACTGCCAGTGCTTCACTCTGATTACAATCTGACATGGTACAAAAATGGTAGTGCTACACCAGTAACTACAGAGAGAGATGCCAGGATCCACCAGCGAGAGGGCATGCTTTGGTTTATTCCTGCAATGCTGGAAGATTCTGGCCTTTATGAATGCGGTGTAAGGTAAGGAACAAAGGATGGAAACAATTGCATTGCTAATGTTTGCAAGTGTGATAATATATTTGTGGAACTTGAGCGTACAAAACTTTTTGGTTTACGTAGAAAGCTTAAACAGTTAAAAAGCACTGTTTTGATAATGCTTTATGTTTCTGCATGATGCCTTTCTCTTTCACCTATTTACCATTGCAAAAGTGGTTCATACAGGAGACTCTTTATCATGAAGCATGATAACACTAACAGTGTGGGGATTGCTTGTTTGTTTGTTTTAGATGAAGCATAAGGTCACAGGAAAATGTCTTCATTGCTTCAGCTTTTCCTGTGTTCAGATTGCTGTTCGATACTGACAGATCAGAAGAACATTTTGTTTTCTTCATAGGACATGGCTAAATGGAAGAAGGATCTAAGAGGAGCAAGCTCTGCACTTTATGCAGTATCACCAGACACAGATTTTTCTGGAGAGCTTAACAACTTTTTGCTAATCTTGTTAGAAATTTACAAATTTAAAGGCAGAAAAGCATTCTTATGATTTATATTAAAATATTACCAAATGTTACTGGTCAAAAATGAGAATGCAAATAAAGAGCAAAGCAATGTGCTAGACAGCTTTAGAGACAGGGAAAATGATGAGTCAGTAATACTACTCAATCTGAGTGCACAAAGAAGAAATAAAAGGAATAGATTCTTTGAAAAGAATCTATATCTAGCTTTTTTTGGTACTTTAAAGCTCTTGCTATATCTACAGCTCAGATTTGTGCACTGGGCTTAACTACTTCAGGTCATCAAATGTTTTTTATAATGGTTGAAATTCACTGTGTTCTGAACAGGAAATTGATATTGGTAGGACAGACAGAAACTCTTCCTTTCCTCATGGTCTTGCCACAACACACTGAGAACAGCCATTACAGGTTTCTCACGTGGCCCAAAATTTGGTTTAGTAGTGTGTAGTTATGTGTAGAGGTGTGCATACAGTACACCAGTTATCCTGGAGGGGTTTGGATTGTGAATGTAGTAACAGTGATCAGAAGGAACTTCCAGTGTCATGGGCCTTTGCACATTCCTTCTCCAGAGCTGACAAGTGAAGCTGAAATGGGAGGTCAGAAGACATGTAATCCTTTCAAAGCTACCCAGTTATATAATTTTAATTTAGTCTTTCCTGCCATGCTTCTAGTTACTTGAGCTATGAGATGTGTTCCTGTGGGCACCTCACATCCCTGGCTTGCATAATGTCAGCAGGACACAAAACTTACTAATGTTCAGTTGTGTTAACTGTAGGCAGCATTTTGTGCATCAGTCACTTAAACCTTAACTGGAGCTCTGAGAAGTCCTGACATGCCCTCTGATGCTTCCAGAGCAGACCCCACTTCTGCTCCCAACACAAAATCAGAGCTTATTCCCATCTCTTGATCTGAAACAGGGGGTGAGGAGTTGAGGATGGTATTTATGAGCTAGGAGGATACAGCAGGGGTGTTACAGGCAAGACTGGTGAAGATGCTGAAGTCCCACTGTGTAAACTCCTTGACTTGCTGTAAAGCAGGAACCTTTCTGTTAATGACCTGACTTGTCTGCTGTTTTAATTACAGGAACCTTAACCAGTCTAACAAAAAAACTATAAATTTAACAGTTTTTAAGAACGATAATGGCTTGTGTTTTAATGGAAAAATGAAGTTTGAACAAAAAGTGATGAGCACAAATACTGGAAAGATTATATGTCCTGATCTAGAACAATTTAAAGACGAAGACAATCATCAGCCTGAAGTATATTGGTATAAGGTATTGTGAATGTGTATTTCATATATACAAGATACAAAACTTATTACTTAAAATGTCTTGTGGAGTAACTGGGAAAAGCTGCTTTTGGAAGGGAAGGTTTATTTTCTCTACAGTTTGCGCAAGGCACGAGTGTGAGTAAGATTTGTGAAAATGTGGTTCATCCTTTGATTATTTTATGTAGATAATAAGTTTTAAAACTTGTATGTTTCTGTAAATACAAGGCTTTGGATAATTATTTCAGTTTCTCAGAATATTAGGCATGTCCTATCTGTTGACCATGCTGTGGTATTCTTATGCTGCTTGCTTTGGTTCTATGAAAATAACTCTGTAGACTGTGCAAGCTTAGACACATGTATTTTCTCCATGTTAAAGTAAAATTATGAAGTAGTTCAACACTTAATTCTGATGCTGGTATTAAAGCAGCTACATGGGCCTGTATATGTAAAATAACCTTGGTGCTGCACCTATACATCTTCTGAGATGAAGGGTTTCTCCACTGCTTGTAGGTCAAGGAAGAGAAGGAAGTTTTTCCCTGTATTCACATTGCCACAGAAACCCAACCAGCACAAGGCACTGCTACAGCCATCACAGTGAAGTAGCGATGCAGGCATGTATTCTCATAAACTCTGCTACATGCATAATAACTTCTGTTACATCTGACATGTGTAACTGCCATGATATTAATGAAGGCAGTGAACTAAAGCATAGCATGGGAAAGCTGAAAGGATTGGCTGCAGGGATTTTTTTAAAAGTTCAAATGGAGCAAGATGTCATCAGGCTTCATGTTAGACTGTAGTGGTGCTTGAATAAGAACCCACATCATGGCTTTCAAAAAAGTCAGTATTTTGCAAGTATTTTAATAATCAGTAGAGTTCAGTAACTTACTCAGTTGTCAGGTTTTCAGTTAAGTCACAAATACTTTTGATGTATTTAGGAGTGTAAGTCTGGATTTCTTGAAGACAAGCGACTTCTTTTGGCAGAGGGTGAAAGTGCTGTCTTGATTCGTAACGTAACTGTGCAAGACAGAGGAAACTACACGTGCCGTATGCTGTACACCTATATGGGAAAACAATATAATGTTTCAAGAACCATAAGTCTAGAGGTTAAAGGTGAGTGCACGAGGTTATTCTCCTTTTGGCTCTGCTGTACATATTTGTATGCAGGCATAAGATACCTGGTATGTTACCTTTCAACTCTGTGAAATTAGAGTTGCAAATCCTCTTTAATTAATTTATTACTGAATATAAAATTAAAACACAATGACGGACGTTGCTATGCTTGAGGATTGCTTTTGGGGAAGAATTGTCATGGGGAAATGAGTAATGTGGGTTTAGGAATGAGAATCAGAGGAAAGGAATGGTTACTGGGGTGGGGGCATTGTTTTTGCTGAAACAAATAATGGACCATTAAATTAAATACATTTTAAAATAGAGGATTTTTTTTCTGAGACCATCACAGCAAACCACATTCTTGCAGCCCTGCTCGTGAACGTACTTACAAAGTTCACTAGAATCTCGGTTGATGGCAAAGGAGATGTGACAAGCTGTATAAATACTATGAAGTTAATAAATCTTCCTGTAGAAAGGATTGGCTTACTGTTGGCAGTTGGTTGTGCTTTTCTGCACGCAGGATGTGGAACTGGCTGTCTCACTCTCCCAGTAGTGTCATTTATTGCTGTTATCACTGTGATTGTGTCTCTGTGGGCAGTATTGCTGGTGACCTGACTAGTAATGTGGTAGTAATCCTGTCAGAATAGTTGGCTGGAAAGAGCTTGTCCATCTTTTTAGATTAAATCAAAATTCTGACTCAAGCAGATGATATGAGAGAAGTGGGTTGTTAGCAGCCAGTCTAAACATCATGCAGAATGATACAATTTCAGCCCAGTTTAAGCATGTGTTTATTTAAACTTTTACTTAAATAAGTGTTCACCTTATTTAGGAGGTCACTGATACAATCCCTCTTTCTCTTCCTTATCCGTCTCTCTGAAAAACTAATTGCATTTTTTGGTTTTGTCTTTTTCTGGTTGTGTTACTGGGAGTTGATAACAAAATAAATCTGAGAAAAAAATTTTTAAAGTATTTTTAAGGTAAGCAAAAGCCTTTTGTTAACTTGGGAGCTAAAAAAATAATTTGGAGAGAGTACAGCAAATGTCTTATGATATATTTCTCTTGTAACTTTGAAACTGGTAGTAAGTATGACACTACAATAGTACTAAGCAATAAAACCAAAACCACTGTAAAACTGTCAGTTGAAGTATGTTGTGGAACTCTTCCTGCCTGAAGATTTTATTTTTTCTTTGTTTTGATTAGAAAAACCACCGCAGATAAAACCAGAGTTTATTTATCCGAAGAACAATACAATTGAAGTAGAACTTGGTAAGTACTGACTATTTAAGAGGTTATTAAGTAAAACAAATAAGCTCCTGGTCTTTGTGAAATAACATGGGAACAGTTCCATGGACTTCAGCAAGGCTGAGAGATTAACATGTGGATTGAGGATACCTGGAAGACAGATAAGAGATGGTAGAACATGATTCCCACCAGAAGTTTGTAGGGGGAAATAACTATGTGCCTAAGATTGGAGTCTCTTGACCAGCAGTGTTGTGCGGGATGCAGTTGTTTATTTATTTATTGTTATTGTCATCTGTCCTTTTTACTGCTTCTCAGTGTCAGTGTCTTGATGTATCTTCAGTATCTGTGGAAATACTACCCCCCTATTACATGGGGCCTAGGCAAGACACTTTAAAGGAATTTAGGGAAATCAGTTTGTTTGTTTGTGTTCAGAAGGCATTGCCATTCAAAGTAATATTCTCTGTCCAGTACCTTTAATGGGATACTGGAAGGAGGAAAAAAAAAAAAAGAGAGAGAAAAAAAAAATCTTTGCTCCTGTTAGATGTCTGGCTGTAGTGCAGAATACTTAAACACCTGCATGAACGTGGAAACAGCTGTATGATTTTTGAATGAGGAATGGCAGGAGAAGGTTGTGTAGAAACTTAACAGTAATTCATGAATGCATGGAAATGGAGAGGATGGAACACTTGAGGGGTTTTTTTGCTTTTGAATAACTGTGCAACACAATAAACCACATCTTTAGAAAAATTCATTATCATGATGGAAGGACAGGAGGGAAGAGATTGGGGAGCATCTCTGATTTGTATGCAAATTCTTTTTCAAGTAACTGCTTTGCATGTGAGCTAAAGGTTTATTCCATACTTTTGTTAGAGATTATTTCTTGGTGGAAGCATCTAGATCTGATGTGGTTCTAGGAAATGAAACACTAAGATCTTTACATAGGTGAACTGAGACAGCCCACCTTCTCCTATCAAATCATAACTTCCGTGGGTAAAATACAGAAGGAAAGGAATCCAAGAAAGCTGCTTACCTTCCTGTACGTGGAGCTCTCTGAGGTACATTGGAAATAAATACGTTTTGCAACTTGATTTGCTTAATATTGAGGCATTCTGTAAGATCTGGACTCTTGGTGGCAAAGGACCTGAGTGACAGGTGAGCTTGCTCTGGGAGTAGAGTGTGACAATATTCAGAAACCATCCCAGTGGACAGTGTTGGCCAAAAGACTCTGATTTGGAGTAAAGATAAGCATGGTCCCTAAGAAAGGAGTTCAGTTCCAGGGTGTAGTTGTCTGCACGTGGGTATCTGCATATGATATAGTGTCCTTACCCCATGCTGTTATCAGCGGGGCTCAACTCAGTTGCCTACACACAGAGTGCTGTCTTGAGCAGTCTGGCTACTCTAGCAGTGCAGATTCTTGAAGATCTGGAGTCCTGTCTGACAACTCTTTTTACATACCTTGGATGTTGCCATAGTGTGTACATGCAACTGATTTGAGCCCTGGAGATCTTTCAGGGGAGTCAGGAGAGCCATTCAGTTAAGGTTTCTACTTCGATGTGAATGGACTTCAGCAGAACTCTGTTACTAGCTTAGACATCTAGCTTACGTGTAGATGTGAACATTTAGATACCTACATTTAGGGTGGAATTTACATCCAGGTCGTAGACACCCAAACTTGGATTACAAATGGATGAGTTTTAAGGACTCTGCTTTTTATAAGGTAAGTTGTTTTAATTTTATATCCCTCCTTTTCCCAACTGTTCCTTCATCACTTGATCCTGCTTCTATTACAAGACCTTCAATTGCTGTGTTTAAATGTTTTTTCATAGGCTCTCATGTAGTTATGGAATGTAATATATCAAGTGGCATAAATGGCTTAATTCCATTCTGGCAAGTTAATGATGAGGATGTTGATATCTTTGATAAAACCTACAGGGAACAGTTTTATGAGTAAGTATCCTTACACATTGAATTATAAGTGCATTTGTAGATGAAGTAATGTGCATTAATTTACGGTGAGTTCGCCATAAAGCTGACCTCCAGTCAAATGTCAGTAGTCACTGAAAGACTGTTAGAAGTCTGCATCAAACACAGTATATTCTTACTGCTTGGTTTTTAAAAAATGACATTGACATCTTATTATAAATACTGATATATCTGATACAAATATAATGAAGCAATCATACATAGGTTTTTATAATCGTGTTGTGAAATATAATTTTGTAATACTTGCTTATGCATTTGTTCTTAGGTGATTTTTTTTGATAATAGATTAAAGCCCTCTATCACTAATTAATGGAAAGGATAGATTGTTCCAGAACAAAAAAAATCACCAAACTTGTTTTTATTTGTGAAGTTCGTCCTTTTCTGAGTACAGATACAGTTGCTAATCCTCAAGAACACAGAAAACACAGCAACAATGCAGAAGCTGTTGTTGCAGGACATTTAGTTTTGGAGATTTTATGCTCAGGAAAATAAAATTAAGCTGGTAAAACCAGCAATTCTTTAAGGAGAGCAGGACTTTTACTCAGTAAGGGGTCTATGCTGTAACAAAGTGTGGGTGTGCTGTTTGCGTTCTCATTGTATCAATCCCTGCTGTTAAACCTAACCCTTAACATCTAGTGCAAAGAAGAAAGGAAGAAAAAAATCTCAGATGATTAGTTCACATTCATAGAGAAGCATTGTCTTCTCTACCAAGTGGTATCATTAGTGCAGATTATGGCTACAGAGTTAGGCAGCAGACTGCTTTTAAAATTACCTACTTCATTCATGTGTATCTGGCCTCTACTTTGTCCTCAGGTTCTTTAAGGGGGAATTACTACTTTCATTATAGATCTGTATACTTGTTGTTTATCTGTAAATGTCAGGGCCTCACCTTATGGTCTCTAAGGCACAACTAAGTCCATTATTCTTCAGGACATGAAATTTCTTACCTTCATCAGCTGTGTATAACTGTGTAGCTGTGTGTAACTGTTTAGTATCTTCAGCTTCTTCTGAGACCTTATTCTGCTCTTAAACACGTCTTCCTGAAAGGCATTTAATATATTTAACTCAAAGCACTTCTCTGTTAAGATTTGTGGCTTGCTTGGAAGTGATCTCCATTTCTAATCACTACCCTACCAGATAATTTTCCCATGCCAGAGATGGAGATGTGCAAAATACATCCTGTGCAAGTTCGAAGCAAGTTATCCAATATCAGAAAAATTAATTGCAATATTGTTTTATTTCATAAAGTAGTAGCAGTTTCTCAGCAGTTAAATTTGTGAAGCATTCTCTGTAGCAAACCACACTGTAGCTGTGGCCAACAAAATGGAATTGAGGCTTACACCTGGGAGGTAACTCCTGTGCTGGGAGGAAAGTTAAAACTGACTTGAACAAATCCAAACATGTTGCAAAATGATGACTTTTGTATTGGCATCCCATGACGGAATTTGCTGGCAATTATTTATGTAATAGAAACTGTTTCTTCAGAGTGTTCTGCAAAATGAGTTCTCTTCCTTGAGTTCATCACGTAACATTGCTTTAAGGTATATAAGAGTAGGATGCCAGTTGGTATGTACCTTCCCACTGCGGCCTCTCTCACCTTATTCCTGTAAATCTATCTTAGAGCAGGATGGTTTTAGCAGGATATCATACTGTATCTCCAAGCTTTTTGTGGCAATAGCTATCAGACATAAAGGTATTATCACCATTTTTGTTGTCATTTCACACAAGGGTGAATTTTTTCGTCACTATTTCTCAAGCTGGTTGGCATGATTGACTGTGAGCAGTGTGGGTTTTGGGAGTCTGTTCAAGTACTTAAAAAGATCTCTGCTTCATCATCTGTGTAAAAGATCCTGGAGGGTGATTTTTCTCTTGCCATTTTATTACTAGGTATTACTGGTTTATATAGTCTTTCATTCACAGAATCATTCAGGTTGGAAGGGACCTGTTGAGATTGTCTAGTCCAACCCTCTTACTCAAGATGGGCCGGATTGAACAGGGTGCTTAGGGATGTGTCCAGTTGGATATTGAATATCTCCACAGGTGGAGACTTCACAACTCTGGGCAACCTGTTCCAGTGCTTGACTATCCTGATAGTAAAAAAGTGTTCTAATGGAATTTGAGATGGAAAAGTATTTCAATTTGTGCTCATTGCCTCTTGTCCTGTCAGTGGGCACTACTGAAAGGAGCCTGACTCCCTCTTCTCCACTTGTCCCTCCTATTGGGTATTTACACACGTTGATGAGATCCACCCCCTGCCCATGAGCCTTCTCTTTTCTAGGCTGAGCAGTCCCTGCTGTCTCATATGACAGATATTCCAATTTCTTAGCATTCACTTCCCTGCACAGGACTGGTTATCTCTCCTCAGATGCAGGATTTGCATTTTACTTTGAACTTCATGAGGTGTTCCTGTCAGCTCATTTCTTCAGCCTCAAGGTTCCTCAAGATGGCAGCTCTTGTGTCAGCATCCCTTTGAGTTTTGTATCACTGCAAAACTGCTAATGGTGCACTCTGTCCAACTTTGAAAAAAAAAAACAAACCACCAAAAAAACCCACCAAACCAAAAAAAACCAAACCAACCAAGAACCCCAAATCTTGTCTGTTCATGAAGCTGCTTGTTAAAGGGGTCTATTTACTGTGCTTCACTGGCTTCTTAGGTTTATAGAGTTAAAAAATGAATGTTCTTGTATTAATGGATAGATGAATACATCCCATATTAAGTGCAGATACTCGGTTTCCATACAGATGTTTCTTTTTTACCCCTTTTTAATGACAGAGAGGGGTTGCCTCATGGACTTGCAGTATCTGGAACAAAATTTAACATTTCAAAAGTGAAAGCAAAGGACTATGCTCACAAATTTTTCTGTCACTTCATATATGGTTCTCAGCAGTTTACAGCCTACATCAAATTGGAACGCCCAGGTAAGAGATCTCTTCTTGATAAAATGGTGACCAATTACTTCTCAGTTAGTTTGACAACACCCTACTTAGAGGCAAAGCCGTGTGATAAAGGGGGCAGTGCAGCTCAGTACCTTTGTTTGTGAATTTTTTGTCACGTTCTTAGCAAAATGAAAGAAAATAGCACTTTGATTTGCTTTGTCCTCTTACATTCAGTGTTTTAGAAAACAATACTAAAAGGCTTCAATTTATTTGAAGCAGGTAGGAGACTTCAGTGGAATACTTTGCTTCATTTCACATACTTGTACTTAAAGAAGAGTGTGGATCAGAGGATATTGTGTGTCTAGAAGAGCAGTGAAAAGGCCACTTCTTTAAAAGAGCTGGATAGATGGTGTAGCTCAGTATGGAACAGACTGTCAAAAGAACATGAGTGTGTATGTAGACCTGGTTGTCCTATTCTACAGTAACAAATAATGGGGTGAGATTGCTAGGAGAAAAAAAATAAATCTGTATGGTAGGAAAGAAGGAAATGATAGTAATAATAATAGTAATGAAGAAATTAAATACATTGCTTGGAAAGCTTATGGACTTTTCATTACTGATGCATGTGCTGTGTTAACCACCTTCTAGAGAGGCTTATGCATGTAGATTGAGAGCATCCTGCCACTTGGAGACCTCAGTCTGGTGCTCAGAGAGCAGGATAAGTTTGGCTTATTCCTAGCAAGCATAATTTTTTCTTTTTAGTAGATGAACTGAAAGATAAAGTGAGCTTTAAAAACTTAAATGCAAGGCTGAAGAAATTAATTCTTTTTATTTCAAAATTTATTTCAAAATTTATTTCAAAATAGATGGACAAGCAAATCACCAGATGTTATAAGTACACTTTTTTTTTTTTTCTATTTAACTGCAGAAGGGCTTCTGGTGAGCTTGTTTTGATTTGACTTTGTCAGCTGTGAGCCAATCCCCTGGTAAATGGTCCTCCCAAACTTACCTCTAACTGACCGTATTGTAAATAAATCATTGACTGAAAGTGGATCTGAGCTCTAAATTACTACATAACTACAATTTCTTCATAAAGATTGTCAGGGTAGGATTTAAACTCAGAAATTCCTTAATATGCATTAACTAAAAAATGCAGCTTGTGGAGGTTGTTTGTATAAGGACAGTAAATGAGAAGGGTCAATGACAGGTCATTGAAGAGCCTAGGGACAACAAGTTGGTGTGGGGAGAATAGCATGGTCAGGAAAACAGCTTCCCACCTTTGACATCCTTGCTTTCTGACAGGTAAAATTTTGTACAAGAATTCTCACTCTACTGCTGTGCTGGGATACACATCAATATTTTATTTTGGTGTTTATTTTGGTGTTTGGTGAAAATTAGCCTCATTTGTCACATTGTTAAGGTATTTTTTTTCTTTGAAAGATAAAAGTAGGCTTGTCAAATAACAGTATTTGCAGAAAGCACACATGAAAAAAATTGACATATTCATTCCTTCTTTTTTTAAAAAAAAATATTTTAAAGACTAAACAGTTTGTCCATTTCTTGTTTTTCCCTGATTCTAGTTTATGACTGTACTTTGTTTATTTGTTTTCTTTTTTTTATCCCACTCTACTGTAGCTCGAAACATTCAGGGTTACTTAATTGGAGGAGGAGTTTCCTTGGTATTTTTAGTATGTTTTATTCTCTTTATCTACAAGATCTTCAAAATTGATATTGTGCTTTGGTATCGGGACTCCTGCCATCCTTTCCTGGGTAAAAAAGGTATGTTTGTGTAACAATGCTGTTGTTACACAGCTTGTATTGAGCTTCCATCTTCCTTTGCAAAGCAGTGAATTAACTTCGTGGAGTGTGGTTGGTCTTCCTTGGAAATTTTGAAAGGATAATGTGTTTTTAAGATGTTTAGAATTAGTTCAGATAACAAAAGCATGATAAACAATGATTCAAGTGGGGTGAAAAACCCCAGAGTTTAGAGATTTTTTGTTTGTTTGTTTGTTTGCTTGCTTTTGTATCTTTAGAATTCATTTTTATATGTCCTATTGCTCATTCTTTAGTTTCAGATGAGAAGATCTATGATGCTTATGTTCTGTATCCAAAGAACAGAGAGAGCTGCTTGTACTCATCAGATATTTTTGCTCTGAAAATATTGCCAGAGGTCTTAGAAAGACAGTGTGGATATAACCTCTTCATATTTGGGAGGGATGATTTACCAGGAGAAGGTAAGCTATCTTAAGACAAATTGGAATTGAGTTTTCTCATTGATCTGCAAATACAATTGAGAAACAGGCAGTCAATCAGATGGAATTCTAAATATTTCTCGCCATCAGGTGAACTGTGATTCTCTTACTCACTTTGATGAAGAATAAAAGATACAGTACTAGGTGCTTCCATAACGTCTGTTTATCTCAGCCTTTCCCTTGTCGTTATTTAGGCCTTCCAGTTTTTTTCAGTGTCTAGGTAGCCTAGACATCTGGAGATGGAACAGTGCTGAGGGGAAGAAGAGTTGAAATTCTGATTGTGAATGATGACTAATGGCAGGAAACATGGAAAAGTAGGTCTCATGAGCAGTGTGAAAAAAGTCTGTTGCTTTGAGGTGCCATTTAAAGGGATGATGTCTCTACTGTTTCATTTTTATTTGCTCTGAGAATTGCCATTAAACCAGCAGGATGCAATAAAGGATATAAGGGATGCTTAGACAGTGCTGATAGAAAAAAAACAAACAACACCAAGTTACCACAAAAGATCAGCTGTATCAAATGCTTCTTGTCCCTTGTAAAAGTTTTTAGAAAGCCTTTCCTTCCTTACAAGACTTTCAAATCCTTGTGGAGGTTACCTCGGTGTGTATATGTGCATCAAATTTAAATATCTAGTATCTGAGATTGAAAATTACAAAGCCTATCTCACTGACTGCTTCTGTGAGGTGAAATGATTAAAGGCTTCTGAATCCCTCATGGTCTTACGACTTTAAACAGATAATACTGAGACTGAATAACTTCGAAGAATAGGCCAAAACCAGAAGTTTTTAATTAAAAACCAATTGTGTATGAACCTACTTATGTGAGGTGGTCCATGGATCACTCTTTTCTTTACATTTGAAGGATTTTGATAGTGGTTTGAGGAGAAAGGGTTCCCTGAGAAGTAGAATTTAAAGTGCTGCTTTATTTATCCAGCTTGAAAAAAATGCAATAGTCTGTTCTCAGGGTTAAGCCATATGGCTTTTGTGTGATATTTACCATATTTTACTGTTTGAGACTTAATTGACTAGAATCACATTGAAGGGAGGATTCTTTTCTTTCTCTTCTACTTACGTGTAACAAAAACAGATGAGCATATCAAAACAGGCTGTTTAAGGTAAAAGGTCCTGTGGTTCTGGAGCTTGGTTTTTTTGCATTTGTACCTATGTGGGCAATAAAATGTCATTAGCAAGATAAGTAGTAGATAGTTGGCAGCTCTTCTCTGTTTATGCAAGACAAGAAAATAGACATAGAGTCTGATGGGGTCACATTGTTGCATTGGCCAAATCTCTAGGGTTGGCTAACCCAAGGTAAATGCTTCCATGCTCATATCCTGTCCCTATTTGTGATGTAAAGTGTGTTGGCTTAAATATCAAACAGTGAATGACCCAGCTGCAAAATGTTGGTAACATAAAGTAGAAACATACAATCTTATTTTTGCACAACCTTTTTTTTTTTTTTTTTTTTTTACAGCTGTGATCAGTGTTGCTGATGAAAAAATCCGTCAAAGTAGAAGAGTGATAATTGTTTTAGTACCAGAGCCTTCCTGTTACAGCATTCTAGAAGATGTGTCTGAAAAGCAGCTAGCCATGTATAATGCTCTTATCCAAGGTGGCATTAAAGTAATTCTCATTGAACTTGAAAAAATACAAGATTATGCAACCATGCCGGAATCCATCAGATATATCAAGCAAAAGCATGGGGCTATCCGATGGAAAGGGGACTTCTCAGAAAGGTCTCACTCAGCAGGTACCAGATTCTGGAAAAAAGTGCGCTACCACATGCCATCCAGAAAAAGTGGATCTTCATCAGGATTGCATTTGTTACCAAAGGACTTGAACTCGCCTTAAATAAAAAAAGAGAAATGACACTTAATGACCAATTCAGTTCACATAGTTGGTGATGGATTGACTGAAGGTCATGTGTCTGCTTCATGCAATCTTATCCAGATTTTCTTAAGTGAAGGTACTTCAGCTTTATCTACAGATGTGAATCTTTTTTTCTTCTGGCTGGGTCAACAGGAAAAACTTGAAATATCATCAGTAGCACATGTAGGAAGTACACGAGTACTTTTCCAAGAATTGCACTGTGATATGGTGGAATTCTCATAGTATTGAAAATAGAAGGGCAAAGAAACTACCAAAAAATCTCCAGAAAACTTTTTTTTTTACAACTAAGTCGGAATATGAAGAGAATTATATTAATTATAATTGTGATATTATGGAATGGGCATGGTTGATGCCAGTAAATATTTGTTTCATTTTTTTTAACGACACAAACTTTTCTTTGTTGGAAGTTTGTTATTTGCCTTCTTCAGTTTGCTGAAAGATAAATTTCCCTGTGTTACTGCCTCAGTGTGTTATCGCCCAAGAGAAAAGGTAAGAGACAATCTCAGCCCCCCCAAAGTGCTGTTGAACCTGAAAAAGCTTACTCTTCTCTGGTCTTTTTTATACATTTTAAAGAACGGTGGCATTTTTAGTTACTTGTCACATACAGACATTGGAAAAATACCTTTGTAATGCTTTATTGAGTCAAAAAACTAATCTCCACAGGACTTTTTTTTTTTTTTTTCCAATTAAGTGGCTTAATGTATTTGTTTACCCAGGAGTGTCTCATGGGGCTACAGGATGATTGACTTCATCTGTCTTACCTTAAGGGCCACATCAAGGGGCTTCAGGGCACCCATTTCTTGTGGGTTCCTGGTGCTGAAGGAGAGCAGATCTTTCCTCCTGTTCCTGGCCAGAGGGCTGGCTCTAGCATTTGTCAGCTTTGAAGGCTGAAGCTGGCTGAACAGACTAATGTGGCAGAAATTGTCCTTTTCCCTGGGCTAATGTTCTCCCAGATTAGTGAGTTTTCCTGGCTCCCAAAGGGTTCAGAGTGCAGTCGGAGAAGAAGTAGTATGATGAGACCATGCTTTTCAGCTCCAGATACTCTTACAAAACAGAGCTAAAGTAGCATTGTTACTCAAGTACTCCATGAAGTGTGAGAGAGAGAGAGGTACCCTGTGTAACCCCCTGCAGCTGCTTGGTTTTGTCCTTTCCCTCTGCCCTGATGATGTAAGGAATCAGCGGTGACTGTGTACTGGAGGCTGCAGTCATGGTTTTCTAAACAGCTTTTTGGGAAATGAAGTTGTTAAAACTTAGTGTGTATGTTGAATCCTTTATCTTCCATTTTAAAGATTTTTTTACACAATTACATATACCACAGCTGTTAACTCTGAAGTTACGTTTGACTTGTGGGTAGGCAGTGACATAGTTTGCAATGTTCAATTCTTTTTTCAGGGTAGGGAATTTACTTGATTGATTAAAAAAAATTAATTATCAGAGCTCTTTCATGCTATATTTACAGCTATGAATTTTACAGAAACAGGAGATGAAAGCCAAATTGCACATGCTTTTCAGTCTGTCCTTGAAATTTACATTTTTAAGTGATGAAATCTTGTTGTATATGGAAGCCTCAGGATTTGACTGTTACTGCCTCTAACTGCTGCTTGCAACTCTGAATTCCTGTATGTATCCCATCAGCTTCTCCCTTGCAGCACCTTTTGCTCTCCTCCCATTTAAACTCCAGCCTATCTTTTCCCATGCTGTTCCCTTATCTTGAAACAAACAATTTACTGTTATGTCAAACTCCATCACTTTCCAAACTCTCCTTTAACGTTGCTGCTAATACAGTATTAGGCAGAAATTTTCCCTTTGGTGTCTCCACTTGTTCATCTGAAAAAATCCATGTTCTACCTCCTTCAGAAATCATCTATTAATTTGGAAAATGCAGCATTAGCTTTTTCTTCTTTCACAGCTCAAGTATTTTTCATATGCCTCCATCCTCAACGAAACAAAACTGATCCTTGTGTTCTACTTGATAAGTGACAAAACCAGTAGAAATGTGTTCCTCTCCCACCTAAATTGCTTTGCTTGCCTCAGCGTATGCTGGAAACTTGAAACTCTGATTCTAGAGACAGTACCTTCTGAGCTTTGAGTTGTGTGTGTGTTTGGCCAGAATGGAAAAAAAAAATCTCTTCATTTCAGGATAGGAGGGGAAAGAAGTGCATTTGAAACATCAGACTATTTCAAACTGTCGTGGTACTGAAGTGTCATGTATGTACAGACCAATGCAAAGGCCTATAGTTTGTTCTCATTCTTAGTCATGAGAGAAGTGTCAAGGGAGGATCAGCCCTACTCATGAAGTACCACATTCACTTAGCTGTTGCACACAGTCTGCTTTTAAATATGCTGTGTGTTCAGTGGCAGCCTGTTGTAGGGTAAAAGAACCTTAAATCCATCTGAAGTTACTGAGAACCATCTGAGCAAGGCTGATTGTTATCGTTCACATCAACAGAAGAATTAAATAGAACTGAAGCCATATGGTTTGGTCACAGAATTCTTCTGTAAGAAGATCCCTGTATCAAATGTGAAGACCAGACACTGGCAGTTTGGTATTTGTACTCTGAGGACTAGGGTGTAATACTGACTTTGTTCTTCCACCTTGACAGCTCATGGTATGCAGTCCAGCCAACAGAGTTCCCGTGACCTCAAGCCTCCTGAACTACTTCTGCTGCCTGGAATAGATTGAATGGAAAACTGATACTTGTTATCCCTGCCTTCAGGGATAGGCAAGTTGTTTTACTGAGCCAAAATACTAGTTTTTAAAAAATATTTGTTCCTTTTTGATATACAAATGATGCTAAAATTTTCATGTGTGTTATGTAAAGGCACTTTGAAGAAAGGTCCATTTTTAAATTCAATAAAGGCACTACATAGTTTTTTCATATAGCACTGTTGTTTTTTATCCCCCCTCATTCCTCCACTGAAGCATGCTGAGGAAAAACAGCAAGCAGCAGTTGGGACTCAAAGTGTCTAATGAGACTGCTGTAGTGATCTTCATTCAGGCTGCTGAACCATTGGCTTTATCTGGTTGGGGCACAACATCAGCGCTAACCTCCTTGCCTTGCCTGGGCAAACAGGAGCTGTGTCCATGTCCCGTGCTCTCCTTGCAGGAAGGTGAAGCTAGAGCAGCTCCAAGTGCTGTGTTGCTCTCTGGGACCAGCATGGTTCCCAGCAAGTGAGCAGTCTTCTGCTGCAGCTCCTCCAGAGCTGGGGGAAAATGCAGGAGACCTCAGATGGAGGAAATGTGGAAGAGGCAGACTTGTCTGCTTGACTCCTGAGGTAAGTGCTGGCTCTCATCTGCTCTAGGAAAGCCACAACCTTTGCAGTGGGGCTGTAGGGACTGGTCTTGCATAAGACTGCATGTTAATTTCGCAGGGGCAGATGTGCTTACCATAGAGTGTAAAGGATCATTTCCAATCCTAGTAGATAAAGTGGTCTTTAGTTTTTGTGCTCTGATTGTTTTGAACTCCTTGAGAGCTGTTACTGAATACCTTTTTCTAGTACAAGTAATGCCAGCTGTGTTTACTTTCTCATTTAATACTGAACTTGTTTTTTCATGCAAGATAGATAAGAAGATATGAAAGTCATTAGAGAAGTTCTTCTGAAATGAATTTTTATGTACCTGTGTGACTGTCACAATGTGGAGGTTGGTTTGGTGTTTTTTTTTTTTTTGAGTCCAAGAACTTCTTTTAACTTCTGTTTAACCAGCAGCAATAAGTCTAATTCTGTGTTTGGATGGCATCAGCATTTTCATGTGAAACTTCCCATATGAAATGTTTTCAAGACCTATATTGATAATGATTTTGCTTTTTTTCAGATCTAATCTATACTATACACCTGTCTAACCCAGGCAAGGGTTCAGGCTGTAGGTTAATGTGTTTGAAGGTCCAGTGCATTTGTTGCTTCACCTTAGGAAGGGGATCACTATAAGCATCACTTCCATGCTGGCAGCAGCATGGCATAAATTCTTTTAAAACAAGAGCTGGTAGATAATTTGCTCTTTGTTCCCCACCTCTTCCAAGATACAGCACCTTTGAACTAAATCTGCCTACTTAGAGATTAAAATATTGGGACGGGAAGGATCAAGTCAAAGAAAATCACTGTTCCCTGGTAATTGGACTCAGCATGGTACACTGCAAGAGCTGAAGCCACCCTGACCAGCAGATTTCCTGCCTGGACTAGAGGAATAGTAGGAAAGGGGCCAGTACTGTGACAAAGCTCTCCCATGTGAGCTTTTCAAGTCTTACACATTAGCTTAGTCCCATCCTCCTCAAAGCCACTGCAAGCAAAGCTTTCCATTCAGTAAGAAGAATAAAGAAGATCTCCATGTGAGGTAAGGAAAGCTAATGTAATTCAAGGATGTCTTCTGGTTAATGAACTTAAAGGGAAGCAAACTGACCAAACCTGAGCCCTTGGATGAAGCAAGAGACAGAAAGTGTGTTGGGGAAAAAAAAAGAAAGCCAGTGACTTCAGGGGGACACTAAAGCAGGTGTCCAGAAAATCAGTCTAATTTCTGCATTTAAAATGATCTCAGGAATAAGATTTTAATGGAAAGGTATGATGCCTATGATGTAAAATTCACAAGTTTTCTTCTTTAAATTTTTGTGTTGTGTGTGGTCCTTGTTTGAATGTTTGCCTTGCAAGAGCTTTAAAGAGACTATTAAGCACCTACACACTTTTTTCTGTAGTTTTGTGCTTGTTCTTTTTGAAATTCTGGTTTTATTTTGTTCTAATGAAATGGAAACTTTCCCTTTCTAAAAATATAGAGATGATTTTAATGAGGCATTTTATAAGTCTTGTCTGGTATTTGCAGAGAATGGGTGGTCTCCTCTTACTGATAGTTTAAAAACATCAGGGCCCCTAGGGCACAAATAAGCCTTAATGGCCTTCCTTAGGGCCCAAGAGTCCTGTTTATCCCTGTGTTGTATTTTTAAGGCTAGCTGGAACTAAAGCACCATGCAGTCACTTGCTCAATCCCCACTCTCTGTCCCCCCAGCCCCACTGGAATCAAGAGGAGAATCAAAAGTAAAACTTGTATTTTGAGATAAGAACAGTTTAATAATTGAAAACAAAGTAGAAGACATTAATAATGGTAAATAGTAATAAAAAGGGGAAGAGGAAAAAAGCCAAACCCCAACCCCCCTCCTTCTGGGTAACTTCCACACTTTCTTTATATACTTGGTGTGATGTTCTGTGGTGTGGGATATGGCTTTGGCCAGTTGAGGGTCACCTATCCTGGCTCAGCTCCATCCCAGTTTTGTTTTGTTAGCAAAATCCAAAACATCACTACGTTACCAACATACTACAACACTGTACCAGCTGTTGAGATGAAATAGCTCTATCCCAGCAGAAACTAACACACCCTGCTTCCTCCCTGGGGTCACTGGGAGGGAGCTGCCAGCCCTTGTGGTGTCCCAACTGACAGTGCACTAAGCGTCTGTCAAACAAACTTTAGGTTGACTTGGTGCAGAAGTGATGAGAAATGCTTGTGATGAGAAGGAGCTATCCAGAGCACATCCCTGTTGAGAAGGAGCTATCCAGAGAACACCCCTGTGAGAAGGTGTTATGGTTTGTTCTTGCAGGTGAAGACTGGGGAACCTGAGCAAGTATCACAGGAGGAAATGTCTCTTTCCCTCTTATTTTGTTCCTAGATGCAAGAAAACAGAACAAACCAACCAAAATAAACCCCAAACCCCCCAAAAACAACAAAAGGAATTCTTTACAAAGCTGAAATGGATGTTGTGATAGTAATTCAAGAATACTTTTGTGTTTCTGTTCCCAACCACTGGTGGGGCCTTCTGTTCTGATTTTGGAAAGGGTAATTTTGCTGTGACTGGCATCTGTCAGAGATGAGCATCTCTAAAAACCTAAAGAATTATGCTAACTCCACAGTGAGAGGTGTTTGAGCTAAGTTATGGTTCAAGTAAAGCTTTTTAAATTAAAGGTGATTTATTTATTGTTTTTCTTGGTGAGTTCTCGATTGCTCTCCTGCTTTTTGTAGAAAGCCAAGAAGAGATGGTGACTGTGCTATGAGCATTTAATTGCATACAGGAGGTTTGTGTCCCATTTTGTGAGCGTGCATCTTCCTGGAGGTGCCCTGGGAGCTGGAACTCTCTTCACCCTCAGTCTGTCATTTGATAGACATACATGGTAATCTTCAAATGAGTGCGATGGATGACCACCAGACTGATCCAAAACACCTTCCAGTCATCAGCAGCCCCAAGAGAACAACCCTGATATAAAGACCATTGCTCTACTGATGCAGAGGACCATAGGCTCTGACTGACAGACCAGCAAGGACAAGTAACCTGACTGGCTTGTCCTTGCCCCCTGCCAGCTCGAGTCTCACACAGGGTCATGCAGTTTGCACACCGGCTCCGGTGCAGTGCAAAGGGGAGTGCTGTGCTCCTACACCTGCCTGCTCTGTTCCTGCACCTGCCTGCTCTGCTCAGTGGTTTCACTGCAGGATTCAGTTTTTCAGTTTATCCCAAATTATAGCTGATCTTGTTTTTCTCCTTTTTTCTGAAGTTTTTTACATGATTAAAAAAACAATAAATAGTGAAGCCAGATGAGAGAGAGAGAGAGAGGGGAGGACAGCAGCAGCAGTAATTACTTTTTTTTTTTTATGAGATTGCTCATTTTGTGTAGGTACATCAGACAGCAGAGAATTTGCTTTTGAATGCAATACTACTTCCCTAACCTGGTGTACTGGTTTCATTAGAAGTTAATGATGAAATATAATAATGGCCAGTCTTCGCGAGCGAAGATCCGGGGAAGGTCTTTCCACCTTCCAGCCTGCGCATTGGATTTTTTAGGTGAGACACAGTGTGCGCGGAACTGAGCCCACCCTTTAATCCTAAGGTTCATCTGCCGGGGCCAAGCGAGCTTGGACGGTGGCAGCGAGGTCCTTAGGACGTAGGTGGGTTGCCTTTAAGGGCTAACGAGCCCCACCTACCCGGGAGTGGCCCTGACCGGGAATCGAACCCGGGTCTCCGTGGTGATAGCGCGGCGCCTTTACCCCCTAGACCACCAGGGGCTCCAAATGATGAAATAGTATTTAGGAAAAGGATGAAATAATATAAATGTTGCACACCAAAATGTTTACTCAATGGTTTGGGTTTTTTTTCATTACATGACAAGCTGTAAAAACATAGGTTTAAATGTCTTAGTATTTAAAAATACTACTGGCTTCTGTTAAAATGGTTTTTGTTATGATCAAGGGATAAAAATGCTGACAACACTGAATACTGTGTGTCCTAATCAGTATTGTTTCAGAGTTGAGAAAGAATACTTTGCCCATTGACATTACACTGACTGCCTCTACTGAATTTTTAATTATGAGATTTATTTTATGTGTAGACATAAGGGAAAATTAATAGCCATATGATCTTTTTTATAAGCATTAGTGTAGGTGAAATATTTTAAATTATTTAAATGCATTTGGTTAGATTGGAACAATAATCGTTTTCAGCAGAAAAAAAGCAAAGGTGTTGAAAGCTCTTTGGCTTTCCCTGGAAGAAAGTCCAGTCTGCAGCCAGGAGGGAGTCCTGGGCATGCTCTGCCCAGGTCTCCAGCAAAGCCCCAGGGCCCCAGCAGAGCAGAGCCCAGCAGAGCCCATCCAGGTGACAAATGGTCAGTGCTTTGATAGGCTCAAATATTATGAGAAGTTCCAGTGCAAACCCTTGATTAACACTGAGTTAAAGTTGCCAGCCCCCATTTCCCACTGACCTCAAAGGAATAAACAGGATTCTGTCAGATGTTGGTGCTTCTTTTTTCAGTCCCTCTTTCCAGACTCAGCCATTGCTTTATTTATCCAGGAGCCCTTGAAGTTGTTCATTCTCTGAAGAATCTCTGTTCTGCCTAGGCTACCAGTGTAAATATAAA